CTGAGTAAGTCTGTAGGTAAGTCTTCCTGTTCGTCGCTGCATCCAGGATTCGAAGACCGGCAGGATTGCTTCAATGACGCGTCTGCATTCATAGCGCTCCTCGAGTCGAGAGCGCCATGATGCCAGAGCGTTTTGTCGTTCCTGCAGTTTAATTGATTGGAGCGCCTCTTCTGGCTCACTACCACCACTCTGGCGCAGGGCACGGATAGGAACGTACACCCTCGCGTCCATTTCCGCCAGTATATCTAGTGGTGGAAAGCGAGCCAGGATAGTCGCCGCCTCAAAGGATATTGTGCGGTATCCTCGTACGATCCGTATGGCCATCCTCCGCTGAACACTGTAGATTTTAGTTCTACAACGTCGGATGGCCAGCCTTTTTTGCCCATACAGGCGCTCCATATAGAGCTACGGATCGTATAACTCCCGCATAGAGGCGACGTACTTCCTCCGTCGGTCCCCCTAGATTGGGCAGCAGTCTATGCATAGCACCCGCTACCCTTTCGATCCGGGGGACTAGGCGCTCGAAATGTTCTTCGAAGCCCCAGCGACTGTCCAGGTGGAGGCCTAGGTACTTCATGTACCTCCCCACTCTGACTTCAGACCCACCCACGCGGATACACGAGTCGGGTGGTTCCCTGCTCCTTGGTAATTTATGGAACCATATGGCCTCGGTCTTGTGAGGCGCTATTTCTAATCCCAACTCGTGGATTTTGGCGACGACGACTTCCGCCCCGAGTTCGGCGAGCTCCGTGGCCCTCTCGAAAGTGATCCCGCTGGCGATCACCAATGTGTCGTCAGCATAGCAGACGATATCTACACCAGCGGGAAGATCGATTCGCAGAACCGCATCATAGGCGAGGTTCCACAGTAGCGGCCCCATCACCGAGCCCTGTGGAACCCCACGTTTGATCTCCCTCCGGATCTTCCTGCCATCTTGCCCCATGTACAGAATGTACCTGTCGCGCAAGTAGTCCCCGATAATACCTTGCGGGTAAGGGGGCACCTGATGATGTGCCAGTGCCCTCCATTGCATCCCAGGGTAAGGAGTTAAAGGCGTTGACGATATCAAGACTTATCGCCAACGCCACGCTACCCTGGGATATTCTTGTTCCGACAGGAAGCGGACGCGCATAATCGCATCTAAAGTGGAACGCTCCCGTCGGAACCCAAACTGGTTATCGGCCAAATCGGGACCGACGCGCGACAGATGCCTATTGAGCCGACCGGCAACTATCCTCTCGAATAATTTGTCAATCTCGTCCAACAGGCATGTGGGGCGGTACGCAGAGGGAGAATCAGCGGCCCTGCCCTCCTTCTTCAAGAGGACCAGCCTTGCTTCTTTCCAGGCTGTGGGGAATGTGGCACAGCGCAGACACCTGCTAAACAGCTGCCTGAGCCTGTCCCCCAGGGCAGCCAGACACATCACTAGGGCCCGGCCCGGGATTCCATCGGGCCCCGGTGCTGTGTTCCGGGCTTTTAAGCGACTAACGGCTCGGTCCAGCTCTTCGACGGTCACCCTCATCTCATCCTGCCACTCCCATGAAGACGGTAGGTGACCTGAGGGACTTGACCGGTCCTCTGGAAAGAGCGTGCTGATCAACCTTCCCAGCAGATCCGGATCGAGAGTCTCCGTCAAGGGGGCCGACCAAGGCCGGAGCTTACCCAGTACCATCCTGTATGGATGCCCCCAGGGATCCTCGTTGAGTCCCTCCAGAAGATCTTTCCAGGACCGAGACCTGGCGTTAGCTATAGCAATTTGAAGCGTCTTTGTAGCCGCTCGGTATGCTCCGTAGAGTCTGGCTACCTCCTCAGGCGGAGCTCGCCTTCTTCTCCTTCGAGATCTGGTGTACTGGCACCGACTCCGCAAGCAGAGCGCACGGAGCCGTGCGATTTCTGTCGACCACCAGTACACTGCTCTACGCTTGGGGCGACTGGTTCTGGGCATGGACAGGTCGCAAATTTGCGCCATCGTACCCCGAAACCAGTATGCTTCCACTTCAGGATCGGACTGAACCTCTTCGGCGTTATTCGGCCAGGACGCGACGATGGCGGCGGCTTCCAGCTTATCCCGGTCGAGCCGCTTAAGACACCAACGCCGCGGTGGGCTGCGCCCTCGGCGACTGGGGTTACTGTCAGGCTGGCGAAGTGCGACATCGAACACGATGTGGCGGCGGTCGGACAGTGTGACCGCCTCCTCCGCCACTCGCCAGCCCGACAGCATTTGCGTTGCGGGAGGAGTTGCCCACTTAAGATCCACGATGGACTCCCCCTGCCATCGCACACATGTGCTTACGGACCCCTGATTCATTAATCGGAGGTCCAGCTCAGCCGCCCATTCCATAACTGTCTCTCCCTTCGGATCGTCTCTGGAGTTGCCCCAAGCCCTGGTGTAGGCGTTAAAATCTCCTAGAACGATCAACGGACGAGGTTGACATTCGCGAACACAATTCGCCACCTCGTCTAGGTACACCTCGTAGTCGGCAAGGGACCTATTGGGAGAGACATAGCAGCCCACTATGGCCAGGGGGCACCATTGCACTGGAACGAAGCCCTTTCCCTTCTTAATAGGGCGCAGGGTGGGGTTTCTTCCTCACTCCCCCAGTAGATGGCTACAGAGCCCAATTCATCACCGAACCAGCGAGGATGGTCGGGAACAGAATAGGGCTCCGCTACTACTGCAAGGGCAACCCGCCACTCCGCAATGGTCTGCATAAGCAGATGTTGTGCATTGCGGCAGTGGTTCAGATTGCCCTGGAGAACTTTAAGGGGTGTGAAATTTATTTTATTTTTCGACCACCTCCATTGCCGAGTTAGGACTCGGTGCAGGGACTGATGTCGCTGTGTCCGGCGTATTTATGGATGCAGACGGAGTCTGCTCGTTCTTCCTTCCCTTGTATTTTTTAGGAGGTGGGACGCACTTTTTACCCAGTCTGTGGTTGGCAGGCCGCCCGAGATCTGAGCACAGAGGACACCTGGGTTCCGACGAAGTGCACTGTTTGGCTCCGTGCCCAGGCTCACCACAAGCGTAACAGCGTTCGGCTCTATTTACTTCATTCGGGCACCTGCTAGCAACGTGCCCTCTTTCAAGGCATCGAAAACAATGCATGGGCCTGGGCTCAAGTACCTCCACTCGGGCAGACCCCCAACCTATCCGTACTCTCCCAACGGCTGCAATCTTATGGATCGCCACGACAGGACATCGTACCCAGCACGTTCCCATGCTAGTGGGTGTTCGTCGGACTTCCCCGACTTTTATGTTGTCTACTGAACAACCCCCTGCTTCAGCCATCGCCGCTGCAATCTCTTCAGCTCTGACGGCATCGTCGAGGTCCCTCAGCCGAACGTCGCTTGTTTTGATTGGGCGACTAATTCGCACGTTCAGGTCCGAGAGAACCTCTCGCATCTTTGCCGCCAGCTTGTCCGCCTTCTCTCCACAGTCCTGACCTGTTATCTCCAGCAGGAGTCCTCCAGTTACTGCGCGCTTAAGACGAACAGTTTCCATGCCAAAGTCTGCCAAATGGATTTTGGCTTTGGCTTCCTCCATTACTTTAGCATAAGTAACGGAGGAGCTTTCCAACACCGTGACCGTTACTGCCGCAGAAGTCGGGGCACGCAAAATCCTTTTCTTGTTGCTCCTTTTATGTGTCGTACTCAGAGGCAAAGCCGTCGTGTTGGACCGCTTTTGGATGGCCCTTGCTTTTTTCGGCTTCTTAGCAACTTCCACCCACGAACTGACTGGTTATTTTTGAAGAGGTTTTCTTCCTCGCGGCCCTGCGGGGGCCCCCGGCCCGGGTAACGGGCTTACGGGTTGTCCGGCATTGGTGCGCTTGGCACATCGCCGCACAGAGATCGCCCGATATCAGTGCGCTTGGCACATTACCGCGCGGGGTCACCCAGCATTGGTGCGCTCGGCACATCGCCGCGTGTGTTGCATCCCCTGTTCGCTCTAATCAAAGAGCGATACCGGGAGCAACGTCAAGCCTGTGAAGGCCCATCTCCTAGGACAATAAGCCCCGGGCGTTTAGTCCTAATGGAACCACGGGTACGCCAAACCCCGGCCAGTTTTGGTCCGCAGCGGTTTCCCGCTACCACCCATATCTGAGTGGTGTCCCCTATCCGCCATCTGGGGATACGCCCGATGGGAGCTCTGGCAACTCCACACGGGGAGAAAATGTAAGCCTATCTTATACTAGCGTCGCAAATTGCTCCGATGGCTAATTTAGAAAATATACAGAAAAACAAAAATAAGGCTTATCGACCCATTACCGCACCTAGGTAATGGTATAATTGGGATAATTTTAGTGATGGGAAATAACATAAGTACAGAAATATCGAGATCAACTTTATTTTATTATTAACTGTTATCTGTTATAGATGATTTTCGTAAAAACATTTAGCGCAATATCCCTTGTTGCACTCAGCGCAATACGATTTAATTTTTTTGGTTTTTCTTTGAGCATCTTTGCTATCTAATGTTGCACGAAGCTTATTGTAACAACTCGCACAGTTTCTTCTTTTTTATTCCTTTGGTTTCGAAGGTATGATTCGTCTTTGGCATAGCAGCACATTCATTAGCTGTAATAAAATAAACAAATTAAATAATAAACCAAGAGAGGAAACGCCGTGTGAGATTGTTGCTATTTTAAAGCTAACTTTATCTTAAAACTTAACAACTAATAAAAACTAGCTTTCTCCGAGAAAAAAATATAAGGTTATTGTATCAGTATTAAATTACAGTTAAGTATTTTATTATCATTTTTAGTTATTTTTTTCTCAGACAGAATATCTTTACCTAGTGCTAAATATTACGGAAAAATATATTACCTGTTTCTGTTAATATCGGCACCTGAGTCAAAGCTTCAATAATTGCTTCCATAAAATTCTTCTTTGGCATTTGAACTGGTTTTCCGTGATTGTATAATATCCAGCTGTTTATTATAACTGTTCCAAATAATATCTCCATCGTTACTTTTCTGAACCATTTCACGCCTCTTTTCAAGCTAGAATAATATGAAGACGTTAAAATCGATGCCTTTTTTATTCTCATTGTATGTTATGACGCATTGTGGTTTTTTAATTATGTTTCCAGTGATTCGGTTCGTCTTACCTGAAAATGAGATAAATACAAGTTAAAATATTGGTACCTATAAATTTATTCAAATTAAATTTCTCAAAATTTGTAGATTTTATTGCGGGCGGATACTAGTTTATTTATAAAAAATACTCCTAATTTCTCAAATTTTTACCTAGTTATATTTTGTTTTTATTTTTGCGTCATATGTATTTTTAATTTTTTCATTTAAATAATTATGTAAATAGCTAGTTATAATGCTTTAGTGCCAACTGTAATGTTACTTCTATAAATAAATAAAACAGAATAAATGAACTAACATCCTTATCTAAAATGACATATATGTAATACGTACCTGTAGATTTAAGAGTCAAATTGTGATTTCGGCACGTAGAAATCATATGAACCGGTCTCTTATCTGTCCACTTTATAACTCTTACCCCATTTGGGTTTATTTTTCCTACTATTTGACCTCGTTTCAATTTTATGGATATTATTTTCTTAGGATTTCCTTTCCGATTTGGTCTCAGAGTACCACACATGAAGGTCTTTTTACGTATAAGTTCTTCCGCAAGATCAATGGAATTGTAGAAATTCATCATCATCATTCATCATTACAGCCCTTCACAAGTCCACTGCTGAACATAGGCCTCCCCGAAGTAATGCCACAAACCACAGTCCTGAGCCACCTGCATCCATTGACTTCCTGCATATCTTACCAGGTCGTCACTCCATCTAGTGGGGGGTCGCCCTACACTACGTCTACCGGTACGAGGCTGCCACTCGAAAACCTTTCTTCCCCATCGGTTATCGGTTCTTCGAGCTATATGGCCGGCCCATTGCCACTTCAGCTTACTAATCCGTTGGGCTATGTCGGTCACTCTGGTTTTACTGCGGATATCCTCATTTCTGAGTCTATCACGCAGAGAAACTCCGAGCATAGCCCTCTCCATAGCTCTCTGAGCGACCTTGAGCGTCCTCATACGGCCAGCAGTGATGGACCACGTCTCAGATCCGTAAGTCATCACTGGCAACACGCACTGGTTGTACAATTTAGTTTTTAGAGATTGAGGTATACCTGACGAGAAGATATGTCGTAATTTCCCGAACGCTGCCCAGCCGAGTTGAATCCGTCGATTGACCTCTCGGTCGAAGTTGGATTTACCTAGTCGGACTATTTGTCCCAGGTAAACATACTCGTCAACAACTTCGAGCATAGTGCTCCCAACAACTACCGGCATAGGTGTGACATGGACATTAAACATGATCTTTGTTTTGTCCATGTTCATCTTAAGACCTATCCGTTGGGAGGAACTATTGAGGTCATTGAGCATAGTGCTTAAGTCCTCTTTTTTTAATTGTAGACATTATCTGTTATTATTATTCTTCCATTATTTTCTAATCCTTTTATTATTCTTAATACTGTTTCCTTTCCATGATTAGTTTCTCGACAATTATCTCCTTTACCTGTATATATAATACAGTTTCTTGTGTATTCTTCTGGAGTGCAGAGCTTATATAGTTTCACTCCATATTTGTGGGACTTGTTTTTAATGTATTGGCGAAATTTCAACCTCCCTCGCCACGGAATCATACTTTCATCTATGATAAGATACCGACCTGGCTCCAAAAGGGTTTGCATTTTTTCTAAAATCTTATTAAAAGTATCCCTTATCTTTTTCAATTTGTCTGTGTCGTTAGGTGACTCTTGACTAAAATGCTAAAATTTCAAAATTAGCAGAAATCGATCTCTTGTCATAACTGAACTAATGTATTTAATATTGTAGATGTTTCTTTTCGACCAGTAATCATTTAAACGTGGTATTCTTACAAGACCCATCGCCAGTAGCACTCCTAAAAATTTTTTCATCTCCTCTGGAGTTGTAGGAGTCCAGGCTAGCAAGCGTGAATTAGGCTTAAGATTACTTAGATTACTAATAAGATCTTGTGCGTAATTGTTTGTGTTTATTACCATTTGCTCAAAAATTTCATCCGTTACAAATAAACTGTAAAAATCTGCTGGCGTTATAGTATTATCCGGAATGTTCGGTCTACAATTATCTATGAATTCATCGAAATCAGGTTTTGTATCGTTAATGTCTTCCCACTCATCAAAATTATTGTTTTCTGTACTTTGAGTATTTTCAAGTATTTGAACTAATTCGGTTTCAGAACTGTTTTCATAGTAAGTTATTACGCTATCATCACCATCACTATCGTCGGAGTAAGAAGAATCAGTTTCTAGGTCAGATAAGTTGGGAGCATAACTATCATCAGATGAATCGGGTTCAAAATCTTTAGCAGAATTTGCAGGAATATTCAAATATGTTAATGAACTTTGTTCATTTTGCGTCTGAGTGTCATATATTGCACAGATTTTCTCGGAAGGGTTGGGAGTATAATTGTTATTAGATGCATCTGGATTTAAATCTTTACCATAAATTGTAGAAATATTCAAATTTGTCAATGAACTTTGATTATTCTGCGTTTGGGTGTTATATATTGCACAAATTTCCTCGTTGGATAGTGGGCATAATAAGGATTTTGCACATGAAATGTCACTAATAGAACTAGTCCTGCTTGTAAGATTTGATACGTTCGGAGTTACTGGGGTTTCTTTTCGTAAATTATAATATTTGCGGATAGGAGTTGCAAGTCCGTATTCAGCGTTTTCCAGTACATGAAGAGTATTGCCAGTACTAGGACTAACATAAACATCGTTTTCTGATTTTTGTATTTTCTTTCTTTTAGGCGTAAAGTCTAAATAAGTCTTTCTAACTTGAGGACTTACCCGCATTGAGCTATCGTGTAAAGTTGAACTGAAGCTAGGTTCTTGAAAAGCAATAGATGAACTGCAGCGAGGTTCTTGAAAAGTTGTAGTTTCACTGCTTGTAGAAGCTGGCTTAACAATAACATCCTGAAGGATTTGAATTTGTTTTTTTTTTTTCTTGTAAACTGGCACTGTTATTTTGGTCCACCACTTCTTGAGCATTTTGAAAAGACAGCTCGAGCATTTTTCGACAACGTTTATTGACTTGATGCATTTTTTTATAAATCGTACGCACATGCATTTGTAAAAGCTGTCAACACAACACTAATTAATTTTGACTCTTCAATCAGTGCGGTATTAGGCATTCCATAAGGCCTATGGGCCTTGTATCCGCACTGAATGTCAATTTTTACTCTCCAGTGCGGTATAAGGTCGATAGGCCTGATACAAATATTATTATTTAAATGAATAGCCATTGAAAAGACGATCTTAAATATATACTTGTCTTTATCACTTATAGAGAAATCTTTAAGTTACTGCGTTCGCACCAGAGGGAGAACGCTGTATTTTCGCTCCGCACCGACTGCAAGTTCATGTATCAGGCCTATAAGCCTTGTGCCGCAGCGAACGTGTTAACTACGAATATGAGAGTGCATTTGTATAATGATATCAATGCTGGAAACTATGCTGACACACTATTAAAAATTGGCGATGGGCGGTTGGAAACGGATGCTGAGGGCTGTGTTAAATTGACGAGAGATTTTTGTAATTTAGTACAGAGTCATTCCGAATTAATTGCGAGCGTTTATTCAGATTTAACGAACAACATGCATGAAGACAAATGGTTATGTGAAAGGGCAATTTTTGCACCAAAAAATAAGAACGTTAACAAAATAAATTCAGATATATTTAGCAAAGTAGCAGGAGAAATACCAGAGTATTTGTCAGTAGACACAGTTATGGACACAGAACAGAGCACTTCATATCCCGCAGAGTTTCTAAATTCTCTAGAGTTGTTAGGTGTGCCCTCACATAAGCTTCAATTAAAATTAGGCGTCCCAGTCATGCTAATGCGAAATTTAGATGCTCCACGGTTATGTAACAGGACAAGGCTGCGTGTGTCATCTTGGACGGAACATAATCGGTGCTACAATTTTGACAGGCGTAGGAAAAGGTGAAAATTTTATTATACTGTATTCTGTGGGAATTATAGGGATCCGTCCCTATAATTCCCACAGATCTTCCTTTTCAATTCAAAAGGTTGCACCTCTGACGGAACTATTAAGCTCAGTTTCCTTTCAACTCAAAAGGCTGCATCTCTGACGGATCTTTTATTTGGCTCAGTTCCCTTTCAATTCAGAAAACTGCATGTCTGACGATTCAATTTAGCTCAGTTTCTTTTCAAAAGTCTGCATCCCTGACGGATAATTATGCTCAGTTTCCTTTAATTAAAAAATATCCCATTTCCATTTGGAATAAACAGGCTATTTTCATGCTTTCCTATACGCTGCGTTTCAAAACATTTAAATAGGCTATAATGATTTCTTATATTTACGTGAACACTACACATTGAAATAATACTAGTTTTTACGGAATTTATCGCCTATATTTAACTTTTTAAATACCCGACGTTTCGAGAGCTTTACAGCACCCATGGTCACGGGAATTACTGAGATGTTCAACGTCCAGATGTCATAGTTAACCGCGGTTACCATAGATTAAAATTTAACTTTTGTTCCGATCTACACAGTATGAACTTATGGTATCATGAAGTCTTGCAGTTGTATGCTTGGGTTGGGATTAAATTTTATTTATTATAGGATCCCAAGCAGATGGTAGCACCCAGCCATCTTCTCTATTGAAATTAGGATGTTTTTTGATTTCAATAGCCTCGCGAATCATCCTTGGAAGCAATCGGTGTTCTTTAGCGAGGATTTGTGGTCTATCAAATCTGATGTAGTGACGGGGGCGATCCTGTACGTGTTCACAGACTGCAGACTTCCCGGAGCGTCGATTCTTCACATCATCTTTATGTTCTTTAACGCGGGTTTAAATAGGCTGACGAATCAATTTTGCTCAGTTTCCTTTTAATGGCTGCATCTCTGAAAAATCTATGAAACTCAGTTTTCTTTCAATTAAAAAAGCAATGGAAAGTTCATTTCCCAGTAACCATGCGGGCGAAGCCGCGGGTAACAGCTAGTTAATTTATATATTGGCTTTTAAATTGTTATATTACCATCATTGTCATAAATCCCGATCAAAATTTGACAGCTAAATAGAGGTCAAGAAACTTTTTCATCTATGGACTCCCCTTTCATTCTTAAGCTCACTTACTCCATCTAATAGGCTAGTCGCTTAGAACTGCTATTACGAAACATTGCATCTCCTCGAAACTCATTTCCTATTAGTTGATTTAAATACGGCCAGGCCATTGCTACTTCAGTCTTATGGACTTTACGATGCAGAGAAACTCCACGAGAAAAGCTTTGATCTTTCTCGTGCGGTTAGCATTACATTTTTATTTTCAATAAAAACGTAATTAACATAGGAAAAGTAACGTTAGGATTTTCTCCTACATCGTGGAAGCAGTATATACATAAATTGCGAATTGAAAAACGTCTAGTCACGTAGCAATTATTTGAAGTCCATACAGTTACTTGTTCCGTGCGCGATTTGAACCCACGGCTATCAGCGTCGCAGCTCAATAAGTACTAAGATCACTGCACTATGGCGCCATCGACAACCTCGTCCCGATTGCGCAAATCATCACATCAACACAACGCCTGTTGAGCCAACTAGTGTTTTATAAATCATAACAGTAGTATGAACAGTTCTTAAAATTATTATAAATGAAGATGACTCTCTCCTGACTCATGACCTGATAAATAATATTATGTAAGATGTTTGTATAAATGGTCACCCCGGAATAAAAAGTTCGGACAAAATTATTCTCTTGACTTTAAGTACTTTTGTACGTGGTAGAGCCACGCTGCAGCTATTTAGTATTAGCACGACAGGGTTGGCTCGACCGGGAAAGAATCACGCTCTCGCAAAATACCAGCGTGAAATAGCTTATTTCTTCAGTGCTACGTATGGTGAGGTTCGGTTTTTTACAGGATATAATTTCTCTCTCTCCATTCCAAAACAAGCCGGCAATGCTCAGACTTGTCCAACTAGAAGCTTATCTCTATCAACTCCTTGTTCTCAAAAATAATGGATATCATTATTAACTGCAAGTTCATGAGGTACGAATTAGCTAGTGACTCTTCAAGTACCTCATGAACTGACAATTATTAATGGTTTCCATTACTTTGGAGATCAAGGAGGTGATAGCGATAGGCCTGTTGTTGTACAGGGTGGGGCAGCATAACTTCCTTTTTTTTAAAACCTAATAAAACACATTGTATGAATCGGAAAAATTTTATTTGGTTTTTACAATGTAAGTACATACTTAAAGTTTTGTTTTATTTAGTTTTGAAGATCAAATCAGGTAGATGACGTCCCTTATTCTCTATACATTGAGTATACCGATTTCTGGTGTTTGTCATAACTCTTTGAAGCAGAGCAGGCGTTATGTTGGCAATTTCTTCCTGGATGTTGTTCTTTAAATCTTGTAGGGTCCTTGGACGGTTCACATAAACACGGGATTTCAAAAAACCCCATAGAAAAAAGTCACAAGGGGACAAATCGGGAGATCGGGCCGGCCACTGCAAATCGCCCCTGATTGAGATAAGGCGTTCTGGGAAGTGTTCTCTCAAAACAGCCATCGATGCTCTTGCAGTGTGTGCCGTTGCACCGTCTTGTTGGAACCAAATGTCTCCCAAGTCCAACGCATTCAGCCGGGGTAAAAAGAATTCCTGTAACATGTTTACATACCGGCCCGAATTCACTGTTACTGTGACTTCATTTTCGTCAAAGAACCAGGGACCAATAATTGCAGCTGAGGAAATTGCACACCACACTGTGACCTTAGGTGAATGCAAAGGCCTTTCATGCAATTCTCGAGGATTGGTGTCAGCCCAGTAGCGCATGTTTTGTTTGTTCACGGATCCACACAAGTGAAAATGTGCTTCATCACTAAAAAAAACAATAGCGTCCTCAGGAACGACATCCAGAAGAATCTCACATGCGTTCCTGCGAGAATCGTAGTCACGTTTTGACAGTTCCTGTACAGTCGCCATCTTGTATGGATGGAAATGTAAGTCTTCATGGAGAATTCTCCGCACAGAACGACTGGAAAGTCCAAGGGCAGATGCATGTTTGCGCGCAGAACGCCGTGGTGATCGCAACATTGAAGCTCTGACTGCCTCAATGTTCTCAGGTGATCTAATGGGCCGAGGGACTCCAGTTCTTCGTTTTGTCACACTTGCAGTTTGTCTAAACGTAGTGACCCACATAACAATTGATTTTCGGTCTGGAACAGGGGCCAGCGGGGCTAAATTAAAGCGATTTCGAAAGGCGCGCTGAGTTGCAATCACAGAACATCCGCGCGAAAAGTAAGCCTCAACAGCAAACGCACGCTCCTCACTGTTCCAACGCATTATGGCGACTGAGCTGTCTCGACTAAACTTTATAGCCCCCCCTCTCGAACGAGACCACTAGCGCTCCACTACGATGTCACCTGACCGAATGGCGCGCATTACAAATAAGGAAGTTATGCTGCCCCACCCTGTAGGAGTGCGAGCGAAACTGTTCTCATCTCTGGACCGGAGCTCCCCAATGCCAGCTCCTTCCATATGGCCGCAGCCGCTTACGTTGAGGACCTAGTTCTTACCGAGTGGCTCGGTTCACTACCGAGAAATGTCGCATCCCTTCGCATTTTCTATCGCATTACCACGGAGACTGGTCTGAGGAATCGTTCGGATTAAATCCAGCCGTCAAATTTTACCAACGCACATCGCAACAAAACTTACGCTACTATCTATATCATCTGGATGCTTGGCGGTCGGAGGAGTTTTCTTCCTCGCACAACTACTTTCGAATCAAATTGAAGAATAATTGCAGGTGGCGGTAAATAGGCGGTAATCATTATCGCGCATTATCGTTTGCTTATACTTTAAAAATCCAATTATAATGGGTGTGTCCTCAGGGTTAGAGCAAATTTAAGCTAAGTTATTGTGTTTTACCATCTTCTTATATATATCATAATCACCACTTACCATAAAGTGGGATAGTAGACATGCATTGATTCATAATAATAAAACAGATTCTTTTAACTGCAAACGAGGCATTCCATCTTAGTCCTCAGAAATGACAAATCGTCTGAGTTATGGGACACAGCATCAACTTATCGTGTT